ACACTTCAGAAAGACCTCTCGAGCCACTGCATGAAGAAAGGACCTCACAGGACCTGCATGGGAGCCTGGACCCGGCCAGCCGAGCCTCCCAGTGAGGGACCCCGATGGCATCCGTCAGGTTGGCCCCAAAACAGTGGGCTTGAGTGCAGCGTCCCCAGCCCTGAGCCTTTCACGTGCCGCCACCAACTCTTTTCAGATCCACACTTGACCCCGCAGGGCAAGTATTAAATTATCCCCATTTTTTTTTTTTTCAGATGAGGGAAGCCCCCCTCGGGATTTTATTCACAAGAACATTGCGAGCACTCAATAAATTGTGGTTTAAAGAAGGACCATCTGAGCAAACAAAGGAATTGCAGAGGAGTGCAACCATCTCAGTTAAGAATATTCCAGTTCCTGCACGATTGTAGGGACCGGGGGTTACACCACAGCCCGTTGGGGTTTGGGACTACAGCAAGTAGAATCGGGACTTCTACTGTTCTAGAACATTCTAGCATCATCTAGGGTACAGACACAGTGTCCCCGGAATTCACGGCGGGGGGGGGGGGGATAGCTGAGTGAGCAGAAGTGATCGGGGAGGCTTCCTGGAGGAGAGGGCCTGGCTGGAACGGAGCCTTGGGTGATGCCAGGAGTGAGCGAGACAGGAGGGAAAGCTTCCATAGAAACCATACAAGGGTAACGTTTATTCCACGAGCAGATGGGGGAATGCAGGACACAGTAAGGAACAGTAAGGAACAGTAAGGAACAGTGCAGACTTCCCACGTATGGCAGGTCTCGTGATACCTGGAGGAACATCTTTCTTTTCTTTAGAATTTTTTAATGTTTATTTATTTTTGAGACAGAGAGACAGAGCATGAATGGGGGAGGGGCAGAGAGAGAGGGAGACACAGAATTGGAAGCAGGCTCCAGGCTCTGAGCCGTCAGCCCAGAGCCCGACGCGGGGCTCGAACTCACGGACCGCGAGATCGTGACCTGAGCCGAAGTCGGCCGCTTAACCGACGGAGCCACCCAGGCGCCCCTGGAGGGACATCTTTAAACTTCAGTAGTTGTGTGATTTGTTTTCCTGGATTCTGGAAAACAGGTAACTTGCCCATTGGATGCACAAGTTGAGAACAACCGCTTTTTTTTTTTCAAAAGAGAATTCGTTTTTAAAAGATGAGTCAAATTTTAGAAAAGCATGACGTTAACAGGGTCACATGGTAGGTGGGGGTTAGGGTGTCGAGTGCGCGCGTGAGGGAAAAGTCTGAGCCAGGGACGCTTTTGGGGATTCCTTAGACCAAGGCCACCCTGAAGGCTGGCAAAGGGTCAGGGGCATTTCCCTCGCGGAGCCCTGGATGAAGTCATCGGATGTGTTTGGGCTCCACGGCTGCACCCAAAAGACGAATCGGCCGAAACGTGACAAAGACATTCAGAAGGAAGTTGTTCACATGATGAGCCACGTGGAGGGCAGATCTGCCTCTTCATCCCGTGTTCCCTTGGGACACACACACACACACACACACACACACACACACCGGAATGCCCTCTAGATGTTGCCTTTTTGTTTTTCTTTTTATAAGCATGTAGAGCCCCGTGCACACGTGTAAAAAAAAGTGTCTGTGTTGAGGCTCAGGCCCAAGTGTCCGGTCCTCAAAGGTCATCGCACTCCGCTTGGGGAGTCCTTGAGCTCCGCTTCCCAAGGAGAATAAATGGGGGCTTGAGGGGAACCATCTCAAAGCCTGGACTCCCCGCGAGCTTTCGGCCTGCAGGTCTACCCGAGAGCAGGCCCAGGCCGTGGAGAACATTCTCTCCGCCCCTTTGTGAGCTCCCCGCCCCCCCACCGCCCACTCTGCGGCGGGCAGACAGAGTCCCACTCTGCCCTCGGGTCCCCACCGGAGGGACACCCGAATACTGGTTTACAGAACTAATCTAAAGGTGGAGCAATCCTGCCGCAAATGGGTGACCTCCTTTGTTGCCTTCTACACATGTGCAGGAAGGTCGAAGGGACCGGTCAGCTGACACATCAGCAAAAATACTTTTTGATGACAGACGGCTCTCTGACTTTTGCTCATCACTCAAGAGCAGAAGAATTGAGTGACACCACCATCAGGACATTCCTTCTGCCCCCCGGCTGCTTATTCATGTAAACAGGGCTTCTCCGTCTTCCATCTCCGAAGATAAGAATGGAAATGATGATAAATGTGGTCCACTTCTGGCAAAAAGTTTTTGTCAGTCAGGGACACATGAATTCATGGGGGAGGACGCAGAAGCCTCATTCGCCTCCTCAGGAGGTGTATTTCCGGGCAAAGAAGAACCACAAGGAGATTCCACTCCGAACGACGAAAAGGTTTTAAAATACCGAGGGGCTGGCCATTACGCAGAACAGGTGACGCTCTCATGCCTTGCCGCTCCGAAAATTATCTGGCGGAAAGTCAAGAGGCTAACCCCAGAATTGCCGTATGGCCCCTACCAACCCCACTGCTAGGTGTTGTTCCTAACCGCCAAAAACTGGAAACACTTTTTTTTTCTTTTTTAATGTTTCTTTATTTTTGAGAGAGACAGAGACAGAGTGCGAGCGGGTTGGGGCAGCGAGAGAGGGGGACAGAGGACCCGAAGCGGGCTCCGCGCTGACAGCAGAGAGCCCGACGCGGGGTTCGAACCCACAAACCGCAAGATCACGACCCGAGCCCAAGTCGGGCGCTCAACTGACTGAGTCATCCAAGCCGCCCCAAAACTGGAAACACGTCTAAATGCCCTGCGAGTCCTGACTCGCCCAAATCCCCGCGGCATATGCAAACAGCGGGACTCTGCTCCGCGGTAAAGAGAAACGGACCGCTGATCGGTGCAAGGCTTTGCGTGAATCCCACGACGTTGTGCCAAGAGAAAGCAGAGGTCTTAAAAGACCATAGACTGTGCGATTCCATTTATAGGACATTCGCAAAAAGGCAAAACTACCTGGTTGCCAGAGGTTAGGCCTCAGGGGAAGGTTTTACCGCAGAGGAGAAGCAGGAGGGAATCGGGAAGGAAAATGAAGTTGTTCGTTAAGCTGGTTGGTGGTAGTCACTCACGTGTGTGTAGGCGTTACAATTCCTGGAGCTGCACACACACGTCAATTCCACTCTGCACACTGAAAACGTCGTAAAATACGTATAAAAAAGGAGATGCGTTCCAATAAAGGTTTATGGCTTTGTGATAGATAACAAATGTGACCCATCGATGTTGCTGGTCAGTTGTGTACCTACAATGGAATGGCGGACCAGCCCCCCAAAATGTGAACCTTTGTGGTCCCAAGAAGAAATTAGAACACCTGTTTGCATTTCCACAGACACTTGGGTTGCAGAGAAGTACAAGAGACTGATTAAAGGCGTGTATTATATAATGTTTCGCTGAACTTCTGGGGGAGGAGGAGATACACATTAAAAAGGCATCTGACAAGGAGACCTCGTTTGTGAATGTTTTTCAGGGGGAGTATCGTCTAGAGATCCCATCCGGGGATACCTGGGTGGCTCAGTGGGTTCGGCAACTGATCCTTGGTTTCGGCTTAGGTCACGATCTCACAGTTCACGAGATCGAGCCCGAGTCGGGCTCTGCGTTAAGCGTGGGGCCTGCATAAGAGTCTTTCTCTGCCCCTCTCCCCTGCTTGCGGTCACGCTCTCTGTCTCTCTCTCTGTCTCTCTGTCTCTCAGATGAAAAAGTAAAAAGAGGAGCGCCTGGGTGGCTCAGGGGGTTAAGCGTCCGAGTCTTGATTTTGGCTCAGGTCATGAGGTCACAGTTAGTGGGGCCCGAGCCCCACATTGGGCTCTGGGCTGGCAGTGCAGAGCCTGCTTGGAGTTCTCTGTCTCCACTCCCCCCACCAAACATAAATAAACACTGAAAGAAAAGGAAGAAAGAAAAGAAAAAAGAAAAGGAGGAGGGAAGGAGGGAAGGAAGGAAGGAAGGAAGGAAGGAAGGAAGGAAGGAAGGAAGGAAGGGAGAAAGAGAAAGAGGCAGGCTGGTAGCAGCCCAGCCCCCAGAGAACAGCTACCAGGAAGGGGCTATTGACTACGAAGAGCCCAGAATTTTCCAGAAGCCCCTCACTCCCCCACAAACAGGCTGTCACCGACGCCCACTTTAACTTTTAAAAAAGGTTTATTACTTCAATAGTGAATTACTTTTAAAAGATGATAAAACTCATTTCTCTGGCGGTAGAAAAGAGGCAGAGGCCTGCCCCGGCCCAGACGGGACACCCACACTGACGGGGCGGAGGGCCCTCGTGGGGGGCGACTCGGGGCAGAGCCCCCCGCCACCCCCACCCGGGAGCGGCCGGCTCAGTACACAGGATGACGTCAGTTTAGGCGGGAGGAGGGGGCCCCAGGCATCCCGGCGGCACCCGCGGCAACTCTGGGGAGATCGGGGTCGGCCCGCGGCACAAGGACAGGCCGGTCCCGGTCACGCCGCTTGCTGGGGCCCGCGTGACGCCGCCTGGCCCCCAGCCCGGGGGGCACGTGCGCGGCCAAAGCTCCGGGGCCCGGCCGGGCGGCCCCCCGGCCCGCACGGCTTTGGCACGAGAGGTCTGCCTTCCCGGGCTGGGTTTGGGGACAGTAGTGAAAGGCGTGTCCTGCAGGCGAGCCAGCCAGCAGGGGCCGCGGCCGGCGTCCGTGTCGTGGCTGGTGGAGGGGGCCCCGGGGGG